ATGTTTTATGTTACTTGTTTTAAATGTTTTGATTTTCCCTTGGAATTTGGCAGGGGGGTTGGTACCCCCTTAAGTGCGAACCGGTGTCACCGGCCTGCCTACGGGGTTCCAAGGTGTTTTTGTACTGTTACGTGATCGTCTTTTATTTTATTTTACCCGTGAACCAAAAAGCATAATATAATATAATATAATATAATATAATATAATATAATATAATATAATATAATATAATATAATATAATATAATATAATATAATATAATATAATATAATATAATATAATATAATATAATATAATATAATATAATGAATTTACTGTTAAACAAGCAAAAGTCAATAAAAGACAACACACGGCCAATCAACGATAAAATGTAATATCGCGGTTACTACAAGTAACCGAAAAGTCCTGAAAACCAACTGTATTCCTTTTTCAGCCTATGGCATACAGACAGTATCATCGCGGGCCAAGACAACTTGACCCCACCTTTTTTTTTATTCTACACATATACAGTGTACGGTATGTGAGTATATATTTTGTATTACGTTCCAGCAGGTCAAATGCCATGGCGATGGTACGGTGTTAACGTTTTTCATGGTCGGTGAGCGGTCATAATGAATAGCGTTCTATTTATTTTCGACCTTTCATTGATTCCATGCAATCAATGTATACGTGTTATAAGACAGGGCGTTGGCAGATAGAGGTCAAATCCTATCACTTTCACCTGACAGTGGCTATGAATTAAGACCTCGGGCTGACAGGGACGACACTCAAAAACAACTACAACACAGACTACGAGGTAATCCTAACATCGTTAGATACTACTAGATAAATGTTGCTAAGTAGCATTGACAGAAACCCTCGAGGTACTTCAAATTAAATCAAATCTAATGTCATGCTTGTTTTGACGACTTGGATATTGTTTTGTTTTTAAATATCTGTTCAAGATAAAAAAAAAATCTCAAAATTTATCAAGTTACACATTGGTGAGTTCATTGTATTATTTTTTGTCCATTAAAACATTCTTTTATTTCAAATATAGGATCGATGACCCATTAATTTGGGGTATCACGTGACCACTTTCTGTTGTAGATTTATATTTAACACCTGGCACTAATACATACACCCATGTTGTCTCTGATATTAATAACTTATTATTACTTTTAATAGCAAGGAGGATGTCTTCAACTATTAGAATACTTTCCCGGTGGCATCCATTCAATACTGGTGATATCCACTGTAGACAGAAAGCGTCAATAGACGATGTTTGGTTTCAAGGTTTCACTCAAATAATTTCACTAATCCTATACGGAACGATACGGAACACAAGTCACGTTACTTTAACCATGAAACCACGAACCACTGCGGTTTGTTGTTTCATGCTTTTACCGACCTACAAACATAACTAACAGCTTAAAATGTTAAATGTGTAAGTGAGTTTTTTTTATATCACGTATTATTTTCTTTTCATCATTTAGATAATGCCGCAACATGGATGGATGTGACTTTTTATGGGGCGTGTTCTGGTTATTCACGTTACTCCTTATTGGCTGGCCAATAGCTACATTAGTCGTCTGGTTCTACATACTGTGTTTGCCGTTCGGTGTTTGCATCGATTGTTGTAAAAGAATATGTATAACGCTGCTAAAAATTGTATATGGTTTCTCAGAAATCACTTTATGTGATATTAGCTTTGAAATTTGCGAGGGCTCAGGCCAGTTAGGTATGACTAAGCTGCCTATAGAAGTTGAGTTAAGACCTGACCAGATCTACTGCCCTCTCGTGTCTAAAGGTCGGCAACTTGAAGAAATCGTCTGTTCGTATCGTACGTGTTGGCAGCGTCTTTGAAGCAAATATTGGAACATGTAAATGACGGAGAGGCGTTGGCGTGTCAACACTCCGGCATTGCGGTGACACATGCAGTAATACTCAGTTTCCATCTATCTGTTAACAGCGAACACAAAAAGCAACCCATCCAGCATCCTGTTAATTAAATGTAAAAGTACAATGCAGTCAGCCTGGGCACATGGATAGTAATACTTTAAAAACTAAAAAAAAATGTACTTGGACATCATTAGAAATTTCGCCAAACATCACCGTCCGTTGATTTGTAATAATAATGTAATTTTGCTTGTTACTTAATCCAGTTAAAGTCGTACAAATACCCATGTTATGCGATCCATTATAATAAATGTGTTTGACCATGTATTTTCTTTTCTGCAGTTCATGTGTTAGTTTTAATATGAATAAATGAAAACAACAAACTGTTGCAGACAGTCTGACAGAAGACGGCGCCATTAGCTGCATAGTCTTTTAACCTAAACCATAGACCCTATAAAGTCCAAACGTACTATTAGGTCTATAATGGGAGTACATGCAGCACAGAACAAAGCAGCACAGATTACCTGTCAAATCACAGACAACGTAAAAACAGAAATAGACGACCCAACAACGAACGTAAACATGGTATTAACGATCACAACAAAACATACGTTACAACATCAATAAAGTTGTGACGTAATAGTAATCAGTATTGTTATAATCGATAATTACATTCAAGTTTGGCCAAATGTTGCCTGCATTAAATGTGTCAGACAATCGCCTCGCTGTTATTGATGTCCGACTCAGTGTGTTCGTTCAAGCAAATGCGGCTCCGATGGTTCAATCTACGCGCCCTGTTTACAGTTGACAATGCCTACGAATTCAACAGGTGGCCAAGTACAGGTTGTAGTACAAAACATAAGTTATTACACCATAAATGATTAAAACAAGATCATCGTATCCGTTTTAATTTTTGTTTGATATAATCTATATATTTGAATACGTTACAGATTCCAACTCTGTGTGGTTATGTTAATATTTCCCCTCCCGCGTTCTTAAATTTGAATGGTGAATCGAGAACTTCTTTTAACAGTAAAAGTATGTAATATATTTGCCATAGCACAGTGCTCTAGGTCACCGACATCCCTTGGGACGTCCCACTGTTACTTGTTACAAACGGGTGTCTGCTTTTCAATAAAGAAACGTCTTTTGTGAAGCGATATACTTTTACACAGGTTTATTTTAATACCCGCTTACAGTGTTATTATTGGTCGGTCAGCCATGGTCAAACTTCTTTCCAGAACTCGAGACGGGCTGCCTTTTATTGTTGTCGCCTCAGCTGACACGGACAGCAGTTCTTTTATTCGACCTCATGTTTATTCATAACTAAACTTCATATTATGCAAGGTCTGCTGGATTCACTTTGCCCATTGGTTAAGAGTGTTGTCGATTGCCTTGTTCTGGTCAACTGGTTTTCTTTTCACATGCATTAGTACGGTCTATAAGTGTGTGTGTATTTTGTTGACTCCACTCTCGGCAGGTTGTTTTGGTCCTTCTCCGGGCAGATATCGGTTTCTTCTCGTCTTACGATTTGTTCAGTTCTGGTAGCACATTTATCCAACCTGTTACCACTGTGGAGTTGGCCAGTTACGCAGGTTTGACCAAACATAAACACTGTCGATGCTCGGTGGACGCATAATGGACGACATGTAAAGGTGACGTGAAGATTTGTATCGGTAGATCGTAAATTCAGAAATCCTGACACCCGTTTCCCACGCTCATCGAAATGAATGTCCCTCGCGTTAAACGGGAAAGACGGCGACGGGGCCAGGCACAGTTACCATGGCAAGAATCAACATGGGTGCAAAGTTTTGCCGGCGACGCACCCAGTCCAATCAAGGTGTCTGACTTGAACCCTGGCTTTGCATTGCGACAGATCGTATTGTTAATGGAGAAACGGAAATTCGATGATTGTTCGCAGTTAGTTAACCAAATGAACCAGCTGACATTGAAAACCATTATGCCGGAAATGCCAGTTGACGTTTTTATTGAAGAAATACCGTACTCTCTGGTCATATTGGAAAGTTTGTTTTCCAAGTTGTTTATCGCCGACCCGGACAGTTTTCCTGTAATCACATTAAAAGTAGAAAACATACTTTTAAGAATCGTACGATTTCTAGCAAGGCAAGAAGACCCTAATGCTCAAAAATTTTCGAAAATTGACCAAGCGGATAAAGCCATCGCTAGTATTTTACGTATTATTGCGTTCGTGGAGCCGGAAATTATGAAAACACTTCGTAGTCGGAAAAGAATGATGGAGACAGTATTGGAGGGCATGGGAGGGCATGGATTAGTTAGTATAGACAACTCGTTAATGACTTTGCATGATGCACTGAAACTAGAATTTGAGCAGAATATTATTGCCTACAAGGCCGCTTTACAGAAACTTGAAGATTTAAGTCTTTCCCACAGCAAGCCAATGACACTTAAAAACATTTCCACAGGCAGTGCCCGCACGGCCGCTCCAAGTCACCACAAACTCATGAAAGTCAACCAAGATCAAATACAAGTACGACTTTACAAGAACAAATCACTTCTAAATGTTGTAGAGCCAAGTATGAGATCCAAACTTCCAAACCTGCTGCAGTTTCTACAAGACTGCATAGAAAACGATAAAGGTGCACTTTTAGCGTTTGGTCAGCTTCGCAAAGAAATCAAAACTATACCCCAAGACGTGAAAGTTGCTCCGATCATTGCCCAGTACACACGGGGACTGAGGAAAGTGTTGGAAATATTCAAAAGAGTTTCTGATGAGAATCCAACCGATATGATGAACATGCCAGGTGATGGTTACCATAGTGATGAAGATACTGTGCTAACGATAGAGCATACATTACATTCCCAAGATGAATCTGATCAACTATGTGTGGATTCAGGGATATCATCCGGGACACAGTCACCAGGTATGTTATTAAGAATTATTTGTTAATGCATCTCCAAGAGTGACTGTAAAAAGTGATAAATATACTGCTAAACCCAAAAAATACATTGGCAACACTAATTATTTTACACAAAACTGAGAAACTCCAGGGATTTTGAAATTTTGAAATGGTGGATTTAAAAAAATACAATCTGATGGAGAAAGTACAGAAAAAGAAAGATATTAGTGGTCCTACCCTATCCATAGATTTTAATGTTAATTGTTCAGATCAGTAAGGTACCTTTACCCAAATGGTACAACGAAAAATAGGGTAAAATTTTTTAAAGTTAATTTCTACATAACATAGAAATACTTGGAGTTATTGCTTTGAATTTGGTTGCAACATATCTGAAATTATAAAACCTACATTTGTAAAAAAAAATAAAGTCAGACTTTGGAATACAAAAGAGACCATGCAACACTGCCATCCCAAGCACAATACTCAATTGTAATTTTGAATATTATAAAAATGTTTTCTATTCCTTTTCACTCTGACTTGGACTTGTAATTAACTATCAGTTTGACCTTAGACTGACCCTACTCCTTGACATAGTTCGCATAGTTATCACGGGACATAAATAAAGTTAGTGCATGATTTAAAAAACAAACATGGTAATTTATCCATGGTTTGTAATTTGTTAAATTTGTGGTAAAAATGTTGTACTATTGTTTCATTGATGTTGTATAATATTATAATACTATTGTTTTCACTGTCATTACATGGTATATCATTCTATTGTTTAGTTTTCATTATATGGTATAAACCCAATATACTATCTTATACCACAAAATGTCAGTGAAAAAATAATTTGAAACTACATAATGACATAATTTACATTGTCACAATATTTTTCATTGTCATTTTGTAGTAGAAAGGCATTATATTATTGGTTTTATTGTCATTAGATAAAATCATTATATTTCTGTAGTTATTGTCATTATGCGACATATAACCGTTATCACATCGGTTACTGAATGCCTCAACAGATAGTTGAAATGAATAGAAAACAACGGCGTCTCAAACGATGTGTTAAGGGCAAACATTCTTCATGCTTGTGACAGTTATTGTCTAGCATTCCAATGATGGTTGGTTTCATTGACACATTGCGATATAATTCATAAGTAGGGTGACAATTTTGAATTTGGTCCCATATTTAAGTTGAAATATACATGTGTTCCATCGGTTACATACAGTGAATTTCATGAAAGCATAAATGTTTTTCATAGAAATTTATAAAATATTCATATTACATTGATCAGTGCCCTTTATTCAAATCCAAACATTATAGCTTCATTGGCTATAAAAGCCATTTAGTATCACACATTACCCATGAGTCTTTGCAGGTTTCAATCACTCACTGGCATGTATTCGTCTACACATTGTAATTTGTCAAGTAATTTTAACTATCATTTGAATCAAAATATATAAAACATTTATAAATATTCTATATAAAAAACTTTCATGCCGTCATGGAATTTACTGTATCTGCTGCAAACACCGCAGATTGCTAAAAAAATCTTTGGACAAGAAATAGTATTCATATTTATGGTCATAATGCACTGTGCATGAATCATTTTTTGGGAGCAAATTGATTTTTTTCTATTCTGCACTTTATGGCCGAGAGTATGGTGGTGATCGACAGGTGTTCTGAGATATTTCAAACTACTTTATTTTAACTGGAATTAATTTTCGCTAAAAAGACTTTTGTAATGAGTTTAGGTGATTTTTGATGATTTGAATGTAAATCGGTATATTCACTGGATTTTATATTCATAGTATAATCACCCCTTCAGCAAAAATAAATTCCAAGTGAAAATAAAATGTTTGTTATGCTAATAACCTATTTAAGTTGTGTAAATGGTAAAGTGTAAATCGTCAGTGTTCCCGAACTGTGAAGATAGTGACTGAATGAGGCTACACTGAAGTGCTAATGTAGTGATTTATAAAGGATAATCTTGTTACATAGAGTCATCTGTCAGATGCAAATATGTGATGAAGTAAACAACCCATAACTATAATGGTAGTCTGGTTACCTTCCTTTTTATTTCGTGAGTTTCCATCCTCTCTGGTCTCCTGTAATGAATTCAGGGAAATTTCTTATTCTATCATACGAAAATATATTCCTGAAATTATTATCTTGTGAAAATTCATCCCTTTTAGTTTTGTTTTTACTTTTACACTAATGCTACATTGTTCTATAGTTTCAAAAACATCAAGAAGATGAAACTAACAACTATGAATCAAAGCTGAATTATTCAAATGAACTAATTTACATATTATAATATATGCAAACAAGCTAATTTGCATATTGTATTTACTATAAATGTGAACAGGAAACATGCAGTGAATACACCCAAATTGGAATAGTGTTTATAGAAAAATTAAAATGGATTGAATGGGAAATCTGAATACGTTTATCACCAATCAAATTTTACTGCGTTATTTAACAGTCACTGTGACACAATAAGCTTCAAAAACTTCTAAAATGTTTAATTTGTTTGTTTTGAAACTTTAGAAGCATTGTATGGATTTTTGCGAATCATTGTGAAGTTGCCTGTTGCATATTGAGTCACACGGGACGTTGTTCCCATGCTAGTTCAGCCACTCAGTTCTATTGTGCAGAAATATGTAGGAAAAGAATACAACGCTTTGGCATACATTGTGTACAACCAAGCTTAAACATTCCTTTAATGTATGTTAAAGAGAGAGGTGCATGACAATTGAAACAGAAACTTCTAAATTTCAGGAAACATAGGACTTTCCTTTATTGTAATTAAAATATAATTAACATAAAACATAATGTAATTAAAGCTTCAATTTGAAACTTGATTGTCAATGCATGGTGAGGTACAGGTATAGTTGAATCAAGTGTTTAGTGCCAGAGTTATAATAGACCTATATATGTATATGAACAAAGAATTTAAATACATTAGGGATCAGCCAATAGAAACTCAGATGAAGTGGATGGAACAAAAAAATCTATGGAAATAAATTAGTGGTTGCCTATAAAACATGGAACTGGAACAGTAATCTGTGGAGTAACTCAATTAAATAATTACAATTGAATTAAAATCTTAAATACATATGCAATTTAATTAAACTCAAATTAAATTAAATTAAAATCCTATATAGGAATGCAATTTAATTAAACTCAAATTAAATTAAAATTCAATATAGGAAAGCTATTTAATTAAACTATATCTAGTTAAAATACTTAAATCATAGACCCTTTGTGGGATCTATGCCTAAATTTAATAAATTTCAGAGAAATCAAATTTATTTACAATGTGATATTTTTTGTTTTGCAACGTTAATCATAATTTTGACAGGGAATATAGTTATTATGTCATTTTTTAGGAGTCAGATTATAGAGATCAGAGGCCTACATTCATAACATGTGTTTTATCTAGTGTTTTGACCTTGACCATCATCTTCCATTAGTCAGTATGATGTCATTTAATTCTCCATAAAAACTTTCTATTAAAATGTGTAACATATATTTTTCTGCTTAGTTGACCTACCGGTAATTAAACTCAGGCCTTTAAAATTATTCCAATTCCTGTAGAGAATTTTTATATTAAGTGAAATGATTTGATAATTGTGGATCCAAATATATATTTTCTATTATTGAATTTACTATGGAACTACTATGCAGCTTTACTTTCTGGGACAAAAGTTAACTTTGCTGTTCAAAGGGTAAATTAATTCAAGTGACAGTTATTAGTTACTTGTTATAAGCTAATGATCTAGGTTTTATGGATTAAAACTACAATTGGAAAAAAAAAGACAGACTCAGGTGTCCAATCATTCCATGGTACGATCTGCGGCATTGATATCTCCACTAACTCGTTGAAGAAAATTAAAAGGGCATTTGTGGTATATAAACCTAGAAAGCAATGTCTCCTATATAAATCATGTCAGAACCTGAGCATAGACCCAAACTTCAGAATAAATGACTTGGTATAGAACGCAGGTATACGACTGACAAAGCAATGACATGCAAACTTCCCATACAACATAAAAGTACCAAATTCTTTTGAATAGTCTCGCTGTTGTTACGCTCCATAAATTATCACAGCAATACACAATGTATAATGGCGCCATTCTGTCATTTGGAGTCACCCCTTGTAACTGCCCCGGTATATATACATTGTCAAATAATATTGCATATACGCGACCATATTTTATTTATCTTATGTTATTTTCATTCCTACTTTAAGATTACTTTGGGTCTGATCGTCTCAATATGATTCATTTGCATTATCAGAACAGTAGTTCACAAAGTGATTCACCTGACCTTTGACCCCTCTTTTGCTCAACTTGCCATAGCACCATTTAGTTTTTTAGCCGACGGCGTTTGTTCAGTTGTCTTTAGACTTTTGAGCTACATGCATGATCTATTGAATATAATCGTCTGCAGTTATATTAAAGTACCAATAACATTTTCTTGAACGATTGTTCAGTTTGTCTTTTAATAGGGACTTGCAACAAACTACTTATAATTGTCTTTTCCAACATCAATGATTATAGTACCAATCATAATTTATTTTGTGATTTTAAATGCAAATTCACAAAGGCATCTGTAATACATCTTATAATTTTAATCCAGCACTGATCATGGTTTCATATCAGGTTCAATATAAAAATAAAAAAAAATAAATAGTTCTTATGGCAAAGATGGCAGTAAGTAATGAACTCAGAACATATAATTTATTCGAGAAAGAATTCAACCATGCTCTGTGTCAATAGATCGTGATGAAAATATATCTAACTGAAATGGACTACCTGCATGAATAATAAACAAAAACTGTTCTGTTTATTTGCATACTTGTTACAAAGCAGTTCTCAGAACTGATAACTCCATCATATAGCTTTGTTACAATGCTCTTATTATTTAGATATTTTTTTCTTTAAACTTAAAAATTGTTGACTAACGATTTCTTTTTTTGCAGATAAAACTTCCAGTGATGCTGGAGACATAGCGACCACCAGTAAAAATGGCTCTGATATGGAAGTGATAACTTTAGGACAAGGCAAGGACATCAGAAGAAAGCAGGAAAGAGGACGGCAAAGAAATAAAGAAAAATCTAGAAGAGGGCGATCAAAAGAACGGCGTTCTATTTCGATAGATCGTGATGATATCAAACATTCAATTACGAGACCTAGAAGGAACAGTGTGGAAGAGAGCACTGAACTGAGAGTTATGATAGACAGAATAAACAAAATGGCTGCTGCAACAGGTGATTATTATATAGCTTGACATGGGGTCATCAAAGGTCACAGGTCAAATCACTTTATAGTTTTTAGTCCTCGTTCGAACGCAGTCCAAAAACAGGGACTTATGTTTTGACCTCCGTGCTTCCGTCTGTGTGTGCGTGCGTCCAGACCTGTATCTTAAATGCCTGGACCAATCATAATCAAACTTCACACATACATCATACATGATATTATACATATGCATATCAATTTGTTTCACGATCTGATTAAAAGATGGCCGAATAGCGGCCGTTTTTGTTCTAAAAATCATCAAAATCAAGCATTTCTCGGTTGTTCACTGATGGATTTTGTTCAAACTTGGTATATACTATGGATATTATAGGACCTTGATGCATATCATTTTGTTTTTCAGATAAGATTCAAAATGGCTGACTGGTGGCCATTTTGTTTTAATGAATGGGCTTCTAGAGCCATATCTCTGACATGCTTTGACTGACTATGTTCAAATTTTATATATTCATTATACATGTATTCAAAATGGCTGATTTTGTTTTAACTTATGTTGTTTCAGAGCAATATCTCTCAATATGGACAAGTACTCATTTGACAATCAGATACAAATGTCAATCATTTAAATGTTAAACAATCATCATAATCTTATTCCTGACATGTTTATGTTCCAGCTATACTACTATAAACAAAACTGTATATCTTAAATTTGATAACTAACAGGGACTGTGCCATGCATGGCTTGTATTATATATTTCTCCAAATTAAAAAACTTAATAACTTTGTAATGTGTCTTAATATGAGTATTCCATGAATGCCAGTCAAAACTTTAATTAAATATCATTCTTAATTTTTGGTGTTAGTATACTGTATTTCACTTGAAATTTATTTTTTGATGATACATGTATTAATCAACAACAAAAAATCTGATAAAGGAAATCCCCCCTCTTTTTTTACACACACTTTGTGTCTTATAATTTCCTGCATCAACCCATTTTTTTGATATCGGTAATAAATTCCAGTCGAAAAATGTAATTAACATTGTTTTTTTATTGAAACATCTTTTTTCTCATATTTGTTATTCTTAAACTGCCCAAACTATTGAAGATTGGTCAATGACTCTAACAAACAATGTGAAAGTTATTAACAAAGCATAATGTGTGTTACATAACATACTTCTTATTTTGCATGTTCTCTTTTGCATGTGTTTTTACTACAGGTCAAAGAAGCAGAAGTCGGTCATGTAGTCGAGATCGCTCGGAGCCGCATCCTCCAGCCCGGAAACACCTTAAGAGTACGCATCTCATTAATTGTCATGTTTGTAATTAAGGAACTGTTCATCATCATTTTTTTTTCCCATATCTGGCAAATTTTCAACTGTTCTAGGTTTCCTACTCATGAAAGCGTAAATATAACAGAATTCTTTGAAAATTAATAATCCCTTTTTTGTACATGTTGATGCAAGAGGTTTGCTTGAATTTATCCACCCCCATATTTCTATCAGCATGTATTATCCTGCATGCAAATCAAGCGCATGGAATATACCATTACTGGAATATGGGGGTGGAAGATTCTTTGTTATTCATGTGCTTAGAATCTATGTTTGCTTGCTACTAACCTCAATACCAATAATGTCGCATACTGTCCGTAATGTATGTTTTCAATGTGATAAAATTATACACCAAAAAGCGTCCAAACAATCAATTGATCTTTGAAAAACTATATTATGGATTACAGGCTGATTATATACTGTAGAATATTTCAGCTGGAATAAATTTTTGCTGAATAGACTTTTTGCGGTGTTTTGTATGGAATTTATTTTCACTGATTTTTGTTGATTTGAATGTAAAATGTAGGAAAAAAAATATATTCACTGGATTTTATTTTCACTGAATCACTCCTTCAGCGAAAATAGCGAAATTAAATTCCAAGCGAAAATAAAGTATTCTACAGTAGTACAGTGTTTGTTTACTTGGCATTTAGATGGTTTACATGCTGCAAGATGATAATGTCGTTTAAAGCAATGCAGTCAATACGTATAGCTTCATGTTCGATTCAGGTTGTTTGACAAATAAATAAAAAAATGTGCATGGTGATGGGCTTAATGGTGTTAGCAGCTTTCACAATGCTTGTAGAATCACTGGTGTTCAATGCATGTTATATAATTGGTGTTTATTTCCCCTCAATATTTATCCACTGTATAGGTGCCAAAGAATGGCTGTGGTCAGATCTTAATTTGACAGGTACATCATGCTTCATTTTAAAGCCACTTCCTCTATTTGCTGAAAATTCTATATTTGTTATTATACTTTCACAGTTTTAATAACTATTAACAATTTGATGTAAAATGCACAAAATCATTGATATCAAAGAATTTTCAGCAAGCTAGGTGGTTAAAACATGCTTTATAAATTAATTTTCACATAAATTTAACTTTGCAGGAATTGTATATTGTTTGTTTGTTTATTGTAAACTATTTATCACTTATGGCGTATGTGTTTGTCTGTTTGTCTTTACTTTACTCTAACCAACCACTGTAATTTTAATTTCATCCTAGACTCCTCAGGTTACTAACAATTATACTCTTCAGAAATTGTTTTTATGCATAATTAATGAACTAATTTACCTAACACAAACTGGTCTTGTAATGTTCTAATGTCATGTAGTGTAAAAACAAAGACAAATTGAAATCACCACTGAGGGCAATCATCTGTTATGGCAATTCTTGCAACTCAGTTTACATTTCAAGATATTCGCATGGAGTATATAATGGACGACATAAAGAAATTTTTATAAAGAGTCCATTTTAGTACTACATAAATTGTATCAGAAGAGTGGTACTGAGAGAAAGTGTGCCAAAATCAGACTGGCTTGTGTTCCATGCTATAGATATGATAATGACCACTAACTTAAGGAGTAAAGAATGTCTACTAACTTAGGGAGTGAAATGGAGACTGTTTTGTAGTCATTCTGCTCTAATTATGCTATAGAGCTGAGTGTACCTTTACGTATGTTGACCCTTAGAGTTGTCACAGTTTTGATCTGCAACTAAAATTATTGTTAGGTTGTTTTTTGACTACATGTATTTAGTAAAATTATAAACTTGTTTGTGTGTTTTTAGTCACGTGACATGTGAGACGTCAGTACTCTATGACAAAATCTGTCTATAAGTAAATGTTTAAATGCATTTTCTCTGATATTTTTTATTTTTTTTTTCTATTCTTGTAAAATTAACATAATATTCACGTATGTAAATTTATAATACATCATTTGAATTTTGAGGAATTTGATGAAACAATGTTGGCATGGCAACATAAATTTCCAAACATCAGCAATGTTGTATCGTTTGGTTTTCATTCTCATAAATCGTTTTAATTTCCATGAGACAATTTTTTGCAAATTTCACAAAAAATGTGAAAATGTTATGAAGTCACAATAACTTTTGTCTTTATGCCATTAAATTATCAAATCAGAAATTCCTTGAAGAGAAAATTAGACAATTTACAGTATTATTTGTACAAATGTACTCTTTATTTCATAATTTGTTTCTATAAAAACATAAATATTTGACCTTGACTTTTGAAAAAAAGATTTATTTTGTAGCATTTAATGTTACCAAGCAAAAACAAAATTGAGAAAAATTAATCGACTACATGGAATTTATCTTACAGGTGAGGTTGAAAACCAGAGAGATGGAAGCAGTGCTGACAGCCAATCAAATAACTCGGTAGAAATTAATGGATCCTCAATGAATGGTAGGGTTTCTCCAATGGAAGTGAAAATTTTCAAATCAAGTCGAGAAAAACTATTCTCCGATGAAATTGAAAGATTAAAAACGGAATTGGCTAAATGCAAAGATACGATACAGCTACTACAGCAGCGCGAAAAACAACTCATGACGAGGTAAGATAACATGTTATTATGGCATTTCAAAATAAAACAATAGGTTTCTATTGGTTAATGGCATAACATTGGAACATTTACTAATGATGTCATTACGCATTGTACTTGTTGATTGGCTGGTTGGATTCAACTTCCATTTAGTTTATAAATATTCATAGAAATGAAAGGAATGGGTTTGTAGTGTTGATAGTATTTATTGGTCTGAAGATAGTATAAAAAACTTTGTGGATACAAAAGTACATGCTTTTTTTTTTTGACTTATTATTTTCATTTTAGCCAAATATTTTGGCCAAAAAAAGGTGTAAGACTTTTCAATCTGCCTCACACCTACCGGAGACAAATGTATTTGGTCAAATACGCGCTAATAAATTTGGTTTCTGTAAAACTTACAAAACAAAATATTCATGAATTTGTTGATGGTGCCAAAAGAAAATAACTTTTATAAAAAATCTTTCCTTCATTATCTATAATACATGGTAAATGGTATTTAGAAATACTGATGAAAAGTAGAATTGTCATATGCTTTCAATTCG